TATTCAGGGACACATAGAAGAGAGATAAATAATACTTAAGTGGTGGGAAAGACCAAAGTAAAATGTGGTATTTAATAAACATATGGAAACCTACACATATAATATAAATGTGAGCACATGTGTATAGCTGATGGCTGTGTAACAAAAATCACAGTGCCAGGCATGGGGACCCTCCCTGGGAGTGGTGGGTCAGGGTAGTCCAAGAGACTCTCAGAACAATACAGGCAATTTACACAGCCCTTGATTAGCTTCCAGAACCTGAGCTTAAGAACTTGTTGTTGAAGACATGAAATTCTTAGGACATAGGACTTGGAGACAATGAGCCGGACTGACCTGGAAGCCTTTTCTCTGGAAACTAGCTCTCACAGTATAAGAAGATAATATGTAAGCTGCCAACAGAGAAAACCAATCAATGATTGTACCCAGCCATAAAGTCTATGAACCACAGTAATAACCAGCCCAGCAAACTCTCTCTATTAAAACAGTAAAGGCACTATCATGTTTAGGGTAATCAACAGCTGTCTAATTGAACATAAGACCTGCTCAATGGGAAGGAAAATAATATGTGGTCCTGTAAACATAGCCAAGTACACATGGCTGGAAAGACTATAGATCCTAGAAAAAGTCTATTTCTGTCACTTCCCTAGACCAACGTAATTTTTTTCTATATGCTAAATCTATATCCTTATCTTTACACTCAAGTGTGCCACTCATCACTCACCAGAGAAGCTTCTTTTGGCAACAGGTGGAGACTATTACAAAGCTCCAAAACTGGTTAAATGAAGAGCAAATAAGTTACTTTGAAGTCCTCATCCATAATTGACACATCAACCAGGCAATTTCTACAAAGACCCAGGGAACATTACAGACGAGGGGACAGAAAGAAAAGAAGTGCCAGAGAGACAAGAACGCTGCTGCTAGTTAATATATTCCAGACATGATAGCAAAGCTGCATCCATGAAATCCCAGTGGTGCGCTAGTTTAATGAGATCTGCATAATGTCAAGGTAGACAGGGTCACATGTCAAAACAAAGAGCTGCGGGCAGATAATAGATGCTGAAGGAGGAGAACCCGCTTTTCCAGGGAACTAGCTCACTGTGAGGTTATCTAATCCCAGTTGGATAGCCCTAAATGCAGGTACACATGAACACCGCTCAACGGACTATACATATAAAATTTATAAATGTATGTATATGTAGCAATAATAACTTGCAAAAGAGGTCAAGAAATTGGGGGGCATGGGATGAGTTGGAGGGGGCCTGGGAGGAATGGAAGTAACACAGAGATAATATTCATGTATAAAATTCTCAAAATAAAATGAATAAGTTAAAATTTTAAAATCTATTGGTTTAATATTTATTTTCTCTAGTAGTCTGTAAGCCCGATTCATAGAACATGACCTGTTTTCTTAATAATTTTGTTCATTTCATATAGGAATGAAAAACACAGTCGTAGCTTAGAAAATGTGTTCAACAATGTTTCCAAGCACAGAACTTGCTTCATAGTACGTTCTCATGAGCAAGTTGTGAAAAATGTGGTGTGCCTTGTTTAATTTGTAGAATTTTCAGATTTTAGAGTACTTACGAAAACAAAACAAGTGTTTCATGGAAAAGCATCCGAACCTAAACCTGAAAGTCATTTATATTTCATATACACTGTAGACACACATCCTCACGGTAATTTTCAACAATATTTTTAATTCACCTGTGTTTTGAATGAATTCAAACATGTCATTTTGCCACTGAAAATCTTTCTGTTTTCAGATTTTTCAGATGGTGATGCTAACCTGTTCTGAAAAGAAGTGGTTGAAAACATATTTAGAGGTATATCTAATAGTAAGTACAAAAAAAAGAAAGAAAAGGAAAAGTAGGTCAAGGCTTGGCGAGGACAAGCAGCTCTCTATAACCACTGATGAGATAAGCCTTAACAAACAGAAACAGTTGAAGTCCAGTGCCTGGAAATGATTTATGAGACAATTTCCTGGGAAACTGGTCACAGAAATTCTTGGAACTAGCACTGCAAACCAATTGGTTGACAGATGATCATCAGTCTTTGGGATTATGTGTGATCAGAAATGACTTGGATATGAACATCTGTGTTCAGAATCTTGGGCTTGATGCAAGTGCCTAAGTGGGTAGCAGGAGGAATCTGGAAGTTTCAATGCTTCTAGACAATCCTGATAAGCACTGCCTGGTCTCCTGACAATCATAGATGGCAGAATTAACTCACAAATTAAAAGATCACAATTTATATTGTGGTGTATTTAATTTGGGGAATAGAGAAATAGAATAAAATCTTCATGCTTGGAGCTCAGTGTTACCAGGTACTTAGGTCTATAGAAGTTAAAGATAATCGTATTACTGCCACCACTTATGTTGGTCTAATTTGTGATAGCAGTAATAGAAAAACAAAGACATTGAAAATGTGCCCTGATTGTTAAGGGTGCACCTTAAATCATTGTAAACTTGAAAAAAATGCATAGATCAGTAAAACATTCAAAATACATAACGCGGTGCACAGCTGTGGGTCAGTTGTGGAACTTTTTGATCATGCATCTGGCTCAGAGCTGAGGTTTTCTGCTTACTGCCTGCCCAGCATGAATTTTAAATTCAAGATTGTGTGCATGAACATATCATAAAAACCCATTATATTTTTGCAATTAATATATCCTAATGATATATTTAAATTTTGAAGTATGATTTGCACTGAATGTATATCTTTTTATACCTTCCAAAGAGAAAAATTTTAATTCAAATACTCTATTACACTTTTGAAATGCAGAAAACCACACACACACACACACACACACACACACACACA